GACTCTGAGGAGGAGGAGGAGGAGAAGACAACTGCACCCCCAAGAAGATGCAGACTATACCTAAAAAGCAAGTTGTGGCCAAGGCACCAGTGAAAGAAGCTGCCACCCCTACCCAAAAGAGTTCTAGCAGTGAGGAGTCTTCTAGTGAAGAGGAAGAACAGAAAAAAACCCATGAAGAAAAAACCAGTTCCCTACAGTTCAGTCCCACCGCCTTCTGTTTCTTTGCCAAAGAAATCCTTGGGAACCCAGTCTCCAAAGAAAGCTGCTGTGCAGAAACAGCCTGCAGGGAGCAGTGGGGACAGCAGTGACGAGTCTGATTCAAGTTCTGAGGAAGAAGAGAAGAAAGCCCCAGCTAAAGCAGTCCTCTCCAAGACACACACCATACCAGCTCCTGCCAAACCAGCTCCAGCCAAGAAGAAAGAGAGCTCTTCAGACAGCTCAGATTCTGATAGTTCTGAGGATGAAGCTCCTGCCAAGCCAGTCAGTACCTCCAAGAATCCTGTAAGCAAGGCAGCTGTCACTCCCAAGCCATCTGCTGCTAAGACAGCTGTAACTCCTAAGCAACCAGCAGGCAGTGGCCAGAAACCTCAGACCAGAAAGGCTGACAGCAACTCCAGCGAGGAGGAGACAGCAAAGAAAACTGTGACAACCCCCAAGCCCAAGGTGACTGCTAAAGCAGCACCATCTCTGCCTGCCAAACAGGCTCCTCAGGCTGGGACAGCAGCTCCGACTCAGACAGTTCCAGCAATGATGAAGAGGAGAAGACACCTAAACAAGATCAGATAAACAGTTTAAATCGACCCATAACTCCTAATGAAATAGAAGCAGTCATCAAAAGCCTCCCAACCAAAAAAAGCCCAGGGCCAGATGGCTTCACTGCAGAATTCTACCAGAAATTCAAACAAGAGCTGATACCAGTACTCCTCAAACTGTTCTGCACAATAGAAGCAGATGGGATATTGCCAAACTCTTTCTACGAGGCTACAATCACTTTGATACCCAAGCCACACAAAGATAAGACTAAGAAAGAGAACTACAGACGATATCCCTCATGAACATCGATGCTAAAATACTCAATAAAATATTGGCAAATCAAATCCAAGAACATAT